GGAAAGCTATTTAATCTGGCACTCTTTAAAGCCAAAACGAAGAGACGGCGTATCTTGATTATAGGACTTCTGTTTGCAGACGATTCCGCACTAATATCTCATTCACAAGAAGGATTACAGAGGCTTGTGAATGCACTGGCAGCTGATTGTCAAGAGTTTGGTCTCACGATTAGCCTTTCCAAGACTTAAATCATGGCACAAGATGTTGCAGAAATACCAGTGATACACATTGGAAATCACACACTTACGGTGGTGCAAGAATTCACATACTTGGGAACAACAATAGCCAGCAACCGAAACTTAGACACTGAGTTGACCAAAAGAATAGAGAAGGCTTCTGCAGCAATGGCAAAAATCTCTAGGCGTGTGTGGGAAAATACCAAATTGACCACGGCAACAAAAATCCTTGTCCACAATGCCTGCATTCTGAGCACACTTCTTTATGGCATTGAGAGCTGGGCAACTTACATGCGTCAAGAGCACAGATTAAATAGCTTCCACCTACGCTGCTTGCGACGCATACTGTGCATCTCCTGGAGGGATCGTGTCACCAACAAGGAATTTTTGACACGGGTCAACACACACAGCATGTATGCTCTCCTTCAACAGAGAAGACTACGCTGGCTCGGTCATCTCACTCGCATGCCAGACGGAAGAATCCCTAAAGACATTACGTACTCTGAACTAGCAGAGGGAGCCAGACCCAAGGCCCGTCCAAGACTAATATACAGAGATGTCTGCAAGCGAGACATAAGAGCCATGGGCATCGACCAAAGTATGTGGGAAGAAATAGCCCAAGACCGGACAGCATGGAGACAGAGTGTACGTGCTGGTACGAACTTTGATGAATGCAAAAAAAATGAAGCTGCATCGGTCAAGAGAAAGAAATAGAAAGCTGCCCTATCAGTGAGCCCAATGACAAATGAATATAAATGCTCGAACTGTGGCAAACTCAGCCGATCCAGAATTGGCTTGATCAGCCACTCCAGATTCTGCCCCGTCTCAAGGCGTAACCAAAGCCAGTGACTCATCTGGGCGCATCCATTGTCTTACGAGACAGAAGGAGCCATATATGTATGTTTACATATAACATATTACATCGAAGTAGTAAAGCCCTGTAGCTTATTTGGTTATATAGCTGGAGGTATTAAGTAACAATCATGTTCAAACTTTTTCCTGAAGCCTTATCACTATTGGGTACACTGAGGGCAAACGGCAGTTATTTTTGTTATATGGCATCCTCGTCAACCGTGAGCTTACATCAATTACCCATAGACTGCATTTTGTAAAAGAGAAATAAAATGAATGTATTTTATTATTACTCAATATTTATTTATTCTCTATTTAGTGTTTTAAGCAAAGGCATGTACCTGCTTTACAATATTTTATTAAATTATAGAACATAAGCCAGTTGTCTTTAGACAAGACAAGCGACTAATAGGAATGGGATCCTTCCACAGTTCAGGAAGAAGTGATTTATCATTCACATTGACCCCCAACGCCAAATGTTTCCCAATAATCTAGATGATCAATGTATGCGACATTCATAAGAAACGATCTGATATAAAGCTTTAATTCTTATGTAGAAAATGATGTTCACCAATACATTCTTTTAGAGACGTTTTAATTAGTAAAGAATGATGAGGACTAAAAAAAAATACATTAGAACTTGCATGCATTGTTCATGGCTTTGTGTAAGTTCTATCTTTAGATAAAAAAAATGTATAAAAATATTCACATACATTAAATCTACACTTTCAAGCTCAAATCTCCGCACTAAGACATAGACTTGTCTACAGAGTCAATTGACCTGTATGGGAGCTTAAAGGCACTACGCCTAACAGCAGAGTTTCTCGCCAAGGCTCTACGGGAGGACTGATCCTTTTAGCCTTGCCATCAATTGGAGTTCATCTCAGCTTAAATTAAATTAAATTATGGCTTTTGTATAGCGCTAATTGTATTCTTATAGCATGCTCAGAGCGCTTTGCTCCAATCTCAGTTGTGGACCAGTGGGGGGAGGTTTTTTTCCGTTATCTCATTAGGGGCGCAGTAAACAGTCAATTGTCGAACCTCGAGCCCCCTTCATACTTAGCCAAGCCAAGTTAAAGCGCACTTAGCCTCTCGAACACGCTTCCCTGGTTTTATTCCCCATAAATAGTATTTGCAATCTGTTGTTTTTTTCTCTTTTTTTAACGTTTCTTTTTTTTTTATATAAATGTAATGAGACAGCGAGTAAACACAAAGCCATTATTAATTAACCTGGAGAAATAATATAAGAAAAAAAATCTCTTAATCGCATTAGATCTATGTATTAATTATATTTTTTACAGAGAATTCGGCTCTTATACTTACAATTTTTGGCGCGTGCCTTGTAGGAATCGTTGTAATAATACTTCTAGCATGCTGGTGTCTCCACAAAAAGAACATTTACTCAAGTAAGTATATTAAACTTTTTTTTTCAATAAATAGAGTACATGCCTTAAAATAAAAACACCATTAGCAGCAACTGGATAGTTTATGGAGGTCGTTACTTAAATAACATCTTCTACTGAATTAAAAAGGATAGTTCTTTTAAGGAAAAAGCGATATATTTACTACTATAATAAACGTTTAGAATAAACGTATTGAAAAATAACTTTAATATATTCTTTAAAATATAATAATAATAATAAAAGATACTATCTTACAATCTAGTTTCCACCAACTTAATATATATGACTTATGTGATTTTCTTTTTATGCAAAGTACCATTCTATTAAATGTTATAGCGTATACTCCAATACAAGCAAAGGTCTAGGATAGTGGTCGCAAACTGCGGCTTCCGAGCTGCCTGCGGATCTTTGACTCCTTGATTCCGGCTCTTACACGAAATGTTTACTGTAGGCTTATAATGGTATTTATTAACTTTTGAGGAACTTTTTAAAAGTAAAGTTCCCCTTTCAGACCTTGTGGTCTATAAGGCAGATGATGTAAAGGTCATCTGATTCTGTGGTCTACGGTTAACGAGGGTGTCATGTGGCCAGCACAACGACCAACCGCCTTTACTTTCCTCATCTAATGTCAGATACCCCATTAGAGCTGGGTGGACTCAGAGGCGCTCGAAGATCCCGAAATAAAAAATCCCAGTCTTCACCAGGATTGGAAACACCGGACCCCAAGTTCGGTAGCTTTACCGCTCATCCACCACTCCTCCCTTTTTTTTTTTTGTATTACCGATAGATATCTGGTCGTTTGGACGGTTGGAGGGGGGGGGGAAACTTTTGTGGATTTTGAATTTGTATTTTCTCCGTTAAAGGTCATAACGGAAACATTTTGGGGTTAAATTTGGTAAAGGGCAAACGCCTATAAGAGATAAAGCAAATGATTTTACTGATTGCTTCAAAAAGTATCAAATTCTATTACAACTATTGCATCGATTTCAACAAATAAAGCAAAAAGTGCGAAAGGTACACAAAATGAGTTGTTAATTGAAAATAAGAAACTTAATCACCAGCTACTTTCATATGTATTGTAGGCCTACATCAGAAGGCATTACGTGCGCGCAGATATTTCCTCAAGAAATTTGATAAGTAATAGAACGAATGATTAGGATTATCATCTATTGCAACAATCATCGCTAATTGCTATAAATCAAGAGGAGGAGGCTTCAAGTCCACTAAGTATTTTTATGATTGAAAGAAGATTCAATATAACAGATATAAGTAGATGTAGAGAGTAAGTAGAAAGTTCGTAGGCTTTCGAGACGTAACGTTTTAAAAAAATGTCGCTTCATTTTTACCGAAATGAATGCATTTCTTCGTGAAAAAATATCATTTGCACCTAAAGAAAAATCTACCTACACGGCTCTTTGCAATTAAATTGTTAACAATTTTTAAAACACGCACAACGCATTTAAAAGCAGGGCTCGCATTCACTCTTTTTTTCGTCATTACAAAAATGTCTTTGAAATTATTTATCTCTGGAAATTATCATATCTCGTGATTCCGTAATCGAGGGAGACTTCATCCCCTGGTACTTTAAATAAACGTATGTGTGGACATTTAAAGTTCCCAGCTCCTATGCAACTATTTAGATGAAAAATGTGGAAGTTATTACTAGTTAAAAACAGGACAAAGGCATTAATAGTTTCTTCTATCCAATCTTTAAAGCATCATTGAATCGCTGAAAAATGAAATGAAGAAGTAGATCTAGATTACAGAAAAAAAAAATCTCTGACTGCTAATAAAAGAAAAAAAAAAAAAAAAAAACACTTTCGATTCAAATGTATTTTTTTGTCGAGTAAACGCAGAACAAACAGTGCTATAAATATAAGAAGGTTTCAAGTCCGCTAAGTATTTTTGTGTATGATTGAATGAAGATTCAATATAACATATCAGTAGAAGTGATTTGAACAGCATTATTGTTACTTTACGTGTTAATATCAAACATGTCTTTCAGGGTGTGCAAGCAACACTTTAACGTATTAACACATCCTGTATAATCGATTTAGCCAGTAGTTCTCTCTCTCTCTCACTCTGTCTCTCTCTCCAATCAGCTATTATTTCCCTACTAGATACTTTTTTTCAATTATTTAATTTCAACGAAATAAGTAATGTTTATACAACTAAACTTTATCTTTTACGTATAAATGTACTTAGTTCAACTTAAAGAATTTTAAAAGGAATTTTACTTAAACTAAGCTACAAACTAATGAAAGAAAATGTAATTTCTATTTTAGCTTTACCTACAAATCCAGACCAATAGTGGGTTTAAAAAAGAAGCATGTCTCCATGAAAGATAATTAAGGTAGGGTAGGAAAAATAATACATTTTAAGTAATTTTTTTTTAAAGTTCTACGCTAAGAATTTATGTTTATATTTTAGTAAATATGAAAAATATTTTTTCCAAATTTGTTTTCAGCCGTCACAACCTTTCATGGTTAAGACGAGAAGAAATAGGACAAGGAAAGAAACAATTGTGACGATCATTTTTTGTTTGTTTTGTTTTTTACATGCTTATACTTGTTTTTTTTTTTTGCAAATATATCTAGCACATATATCTTTTTTAATAATCAAATGTCTTTACCAAAATAAAAATTAAAATTAAAAAAAAGGTGTTTATTTCTAAGATTAGCCCAAGCATGTTGTTTAGATATTTTGTAAAAGATTTTAACTATTTCTTCTTCACATAACCCTTAGTCAACTACGACACCCATGAAAGGATTAATTTGTCTCGAATTGGTTTCAAATTAAAAATTAAAAGAAATTCATTCACATCAGGACGTTGATTATTTGTAAATAGATAGTACATGTATAGTTAATAAAGTGTTGTTTTTTTTTTAAATTGCAAAATGTGCGTGTTTGTGTTAAAATTATTTGTGTTTTTTGTTTTGCTTGATAATTACACCAGTCCCAAAGTTCAACCTAACAAACACACCATACACACTCAGTTGTTCATTAATAATTAAACGATGTGTAGAAATTAGATACAATGATTTTTTACAATGATATACACATTAATAATAAGATTGTTAGGTAATTACACTCAGTTCAAGGAAATACTAAGATAGTATTAAAAAAACACCCTATAGTATGTTGCTTGATAACATTGACCTCAACATATTTCAGTTTCCCAACTCAAAACTAAGAGTCATCTCTAGACTAACAGGTACAGTTTAACTGGAATCTTCCAACCAAGAAAAATGATCAACTATGATGAGGGAAACGATGTTCAGGGTAGTAGCAGAACCCACAGTATTTATATGTAACGCTAACTTCTAATCTAAAGCTACAATTGCAAATAAAAACAAATTCGTATACAGCTATCTTTACAATATGAACTTAAACCTAGCCTAAACTGGGGTCAAAGAGTCCCATCAAATAGCTATAGCTGTTCAGTAACGTAAAGCATGGATTTAGGATCACAAAACGTACAGCTTAACTCTCACGTGCTAGATGGCAAAAATGCACCAAACGCCAAAGAGAAAAAAAAATGACGTCACATCTAACACAGGACAAAGCGACATCCACAATTAAAATTGTCACAAATGACGTCATCGCATCATTGCCTATAGAAGAAAGCTGCGTAACTGCGACATTTTATAATGTAAGAATTTTCAATTTTTGGTCTAGTATTGCAATGTTGATTTCTATGATCGACTCAAATTTGTTATTCCTTTTTGGTATACGTTTTATAAATCTCTGAGTACACAATACTTTAATGGGCAGCTGATATTAGTTGGGGAAAAGTAAGGGCGGTTGGTCGTTGTGCTGGCACCATCCTTTACCGTTGCCCTTATTCTACAATAGTTAACATACAAGGACACTGGCCTATAACAATAATATAGTTAGTAACCGATCGATATAGTCAATTCAACAAAATTCAATAAACTTACCGTAAACTAGCATCTACAAAATAAACTTACCCACTAATTATAACCAGGGTTATAAACAAAGACAGCAAACATTGGATATAAGAACTAACAGTACTTAATTCAACAACATGGCTAGCTTTTACAAGTTAAATAACTACTTTTCCTCTAAATCAAATTACTCTGGTCATTCTTACCAATTGTAACATTAAAGAGACATTAACATATGGTCATTTGAACTCATCCAAAAACAAAGTCATAATCAGAAAATAGACTAAAAAGTTATTAAGATACTGACAATTGTATCAACTGTTATTTTCAAAATCCTAGTAGGCATGCAACACCTTCACATTCATCTGCTGTTTAGTTGCTGTTTTTGTTTAAATATAAGGGCCCCACACCTGATCTGTTGACCCCCTCCCTTCCTCTCTCTTGTGTCAGGATCAAAGTTTCTTTCATTAAACAAAAATCTCTTCTATAAGTGGATATTTTATTCACAACGCTGTTTTTGTCTGCCTATTTTTATTTTCCATGGTCTTGAGGATTTTTTTTTACATTGGTGTGACCTAGAATTAGGATAGGTCATAAGACCAGTGACTTCTGCTGTACTGGCATAAGGGCCAACAAAGGCAAGTCTAATAATGAAAAAAAAAATCAAAATAGTAGGGCCGGTTCAGTTCAACATAATCAAAGAACTGCCATCATAGAGGCTCAAAACAAACAATGGATTACAATAATATAATACAGGTCCTAACAGTCAAATGACCGTCATCCATGAGATAGACAACTGTCTCTTATCAATACAAAAGTTTGTCATTTACATACTATACGACCCAAATCAGGTCTTTATAAAAACACATACACTGATACAGGAAAGGATAAGAGACTAAGTAGACATAATATTTACATAAACCAACTTAATAAAAACAAATAAATAAAGTCTACTTAGCTCGTTATTGAAAGATTGATTCCCATAAAGTGGCACACTCCTCTTGATTAACACAGTCAGAGCAGTACAACAAAACTATTATATAAACATTATGGAGATTTAGTTCACAATAATGTACAGCGGTCAACTCAAAGACTCAATAGGAGGTCGCCATTGTACACAGTTAACAGGGACTTAAATCAAGTAATAAAGGGGACTAACTCTAATAAGAAAATATAGGTAGCCCCCCTTATTGTCCCTCTTGTCACAATTGGTCACAAAGACGTTGTCGTTATGAACCATCTTTCGATTTGCTCTTTTATAAGGCAGTTTGTTTTTTGTATTTTTTTTGTAGGTGATACCTATAACTTTTCTGTAGCATCTCGATACTAAGGTAAATGGCCATCCACCTTAATTTGCCAGTTTGATTCATTTATTGGTAAAAATATGTTGCCTTTAATAACTAATGCAATTCTGATTTAGTTCCGATGTCAAGGCGTTTGCTTTTCCAAATTGTTTTGCTAGTGCTGTAGTGTGTTAGCCATTTTAGCTAATACACCATGTCTGGTTTCTTTGTGTCAGATTAGAGCAAAAAGTTATTTATAACTTTTAACACTTGTCGGTTTCTCGCCATGAGTCTTTTTATTTATTTATAAGGGGGAGAGGACATACTGTGCGTGTCATTTGCTGCAGAAGTTTTGTCTATGCGCATCACCAAGTCATTTAGCTCTTCTTCTCTCCCTGCTAAACCATCTATGTCGTCCGTAAAATGTGTCAGTAATATTTCTCTCATCAATGCTAACATTTTCTTTTAAGTTTTCAAAGCATGTGCTATTAAATGTCAAGATATTGAAAAGAATGCAGCTATTTATCTAACATCTGTCATTTTGAACCCATCTCCAATGCTAAGGATGAAGTACAGAGCACAAGTGGGCAAGTTATATATTTTATGGATAATGTTAATTATGTTTAATTTTTACTTTACTTCTCCATACCATGAGAAATTAAATTGGGTCGACTACTGAAGGAGACAGGGGCGGAAACTCGTTAATAATTGAATAGAAGTTGAGTAGGTTGTTTTTTTTTTTTTGGAATGAATTTAGAGATAATTCTAAATAATTTAACATCTTGCGATTTAATTTGTATTTTGACACTGATTTTTATGCCGGTAAATATTTGTAAATAAAATATTTATTCCATCATAATGGAAGACTTTAGCTTTTAACTTAAAATAAGGAAGCCTTTTCCTTGTTTAGGCATAGCCGCAAGGCAGCAGAGGTGTGGATTCAGAGTTTTCCTTCTCCTAGATGGGTAGCCAGCCAAGGCTAAAGAGTCCCTCTGGCCCAAAGATTACTGTTGATCGCCTTTGCAACTGCTCCTGTCAGTGATAACAGTTCCGCTAGGCTCAGTATTTGAACACCACGCAAAATTTGGACTGCTTATCGGAGGCTATTTTGAAAAGTGTCATTGGAAACATTTTATAGGTAATGATGGTGATTCGTTTTTTTTTTTGTTTTTTTTTTTGCATCTGAAAAGATGACATTCGGCAGTAAGTCATGCCATACAATATTATTATTGCTTTTTATTTAGCGCTACTTTTATGCTTTTAGAATGCTCAGAGCGCTATGGTCCAATCTCATTTGTGGACCAGTGGGGTGAGGGGCTATATGGGAGAAGGTTTTTCCGTGCTGTCTTTAGACGCTCAGTAAACATCACTCTGCTCGTTTCGAGTGTCGAACATCAGCTTCCGACTCTTCACGTTTTTTTTTTTTTTGGATTTGTAACTATACAAAACCGTTTGTCTTGACTTGGACACTTATGTAAATTTTCTAGATTTTCCACAGTTTGCCCATGACGGCGGATACCAAGCTGGCTACCCATTCGAGCAGTGTTGTGTTTAGTGAGCGTTTAAAGGAGGCCCGAAAATTTTTTTCATATCCTCGCACTACTGATCCACAAATGAGATTGAACCATAACACTCTGAGCAAGCTATAAACATGAAAGCTGTGCTATATAAAAGCTATAATATAATCGGCCACACATTGAAAACTCGAGTTTGACAGTAGTTATGATTTTCGCTTTTAGCCCTCAGTCTAGCAACACGTAGAAATTTACTATCAAATCTGGAATGGAGACGGATGCCAAACATCTATGAGATTGTCAGTGAATGTTAGAGTATTCCGAAGATAGTTTGGGCCAGGACACATCTTTGTTTGACTCTTGTTTTGTACTGAAAATTTCTGAGCACGCGCCATCGGACAGCGCACTACCCTTCATATTTTGTGGAAGCAGACAATGACATATACTAGCTTGAACAAAGGCATCCATTGTCTTCTGAAACCGAGAGAGCCATATAGTAGAAACCAATACGAGAAAATAGCTAACAGGAACGTCCTAGTATAACACAATGCCGCATTTTCATGAAGGATCTAAGAGTAATTGGTACTGCTAAGAATAGGCTTCAGACTTTGCAAGGGACCGATATTTGTTTTTGTTATTTGTTGATTTAGAAAGAAATGATACGGGAGGGGGGGTAAAATAGAACTGAATATACATTACCCGGCTTTGCCTTCCTTCCTTTCGCGCTACTCACCACTACCCCCCTTAAAATTTTATGTTTGAAATATTTGACATAATTCACTGTGCTTAATTGGTCGTTAAGGGCTTCAGACAAAGCCGGTGTTAGACCTTTATAGAGACAGATTGCCGCCAAATGCCCCAACTGCGCGCGAGGACCTAACTCAAAGTCCAAGTAGAATATCAAATTACAAGCTTAAAAAGTCATAACAATGAATTTTATAATCAAGTGTGTGAGCTATATTAGTAGAAATAAATGTTATTTAAAAAAAAAATAAACTCTTGCTTTTAAGACCCATGAAAAATTATAATAATTAATAAAAAAAAAATCCCTTATGGCTATGACAGAAAAACCAAAAACAACACAACATTTAAACACATTTTCAATATAAGTTGGTTTTTTTCAGTAAGTAATTTTTGCATAAATGTTACGGCTTGTAGATTTAAGCGCAATTTTTGTTAATTTATCTGAGAGTA